AGTTTGGTGTCCTTCCAGGCTGTCTTCCATTGTCCGTGAGCTGTCTGCTTGTCTGCGTGGGGGTGCCCGGGCCGCTGGGGACAGTGTGGAGGACGGCGCTGGGCACCCGGGACCTGCCTGTCTCACCGTCTTCATGAACAGGGACAGACAGCCCTGCACTGACCGGTTGGCCGTGTGTCTGCTTGTTCGCTTCACTTTGGAATTGTAAGTGGAAGTAAGGAAGTGTGTGTGAGCATGCGCGCTCTCAGGGACGGCCAGGGATGGCGGATTTGCAGATAACCCCGGAGCCGCCTTCTTCCAGTCAGGGGACCGCTAGACTGAGCTTGTGGTCACACGTTCTTTGTTTTCTTTATATTTTGCTGCCTAGCGTGGATTTCGATCACTGTAGTCAGGGGTGCTTTTGCCGCATCCCACGGATAGCGTGTCCAGTTTGATTTTCTTCAAGGTCAAATTTCATTGTGATTTTGTCCTTGAACTGTGGATTAAACAAGATTGTGGTTTAATTTTCAAAAACAGGGGTGTTTCCAGATATTATTAATTTCTCTTTCCCTTCTGATGTGGTAAGAGAACAAACTTGCTAGGAGTTCACGTTGTTTTAAGTGCATGGAGGGTTTGTGCTTTGGGTGGCAGATGGTGTGTCTGAGTGAACATCTCAGGTGAACTTGGGGGAAAAAACCCGTGTAGTGTAGGCTCTTTGTGGTGTTCTGGTCTTCTGCGTCCTGTCTGATTTTCCACCCACTCCTTACTTCCGTGACTGAGAGAGGAGAGCTCACGTCTGAATGTCTGATTGTGGATGTGTTGATTTTTCCTGTCAGGGCCGTCGGGTTTTCCTTCATGAACTCCAGTGTTCTGTACCCAGTGCACGTACCGTCAACCTGTGAAATGTGCCGGCTTCTTGATTGACTCTTAACCGTTTTTGAAATGTTGTCTTGATCCCTGATAACTTTGTCCTGAGGTTAATTTGTGTGGTGCTAGCAGTTGTCCCATCCTTTTTTATATAGTCTCTGAATTCGTGTTTGGACAGTCTTCATTTGATGCCATTATCTGTACCGTTGAGGCTAGAAGCTCCTTTGGCCGGAGATAGTGCTCTGAGTCCATGAGTTTTTCTCCACTGTCTTCTGTTTGGGCTCACGATCTTTCTGGCAGTGGATCTGGAGCCAGTATTGTGTTCGTTTCTCTGTGTTGTTTCTTTTTTAAGTTTACTGTTTATTTTGAGAGAGAGAGTGTGTGTGTGAGCAAAAGAGGAGCAGAGAGAGAGGGTGAGACAGAATCCCAAGCAGGCCCCGCAATCTCAGCACAGACCCCAACGCAGGGCTCGAACCTGTGAATCATGAGATTGTGACCTGAGCCAAAGTCGGACGTTTCACCGACTGAGCCACCCAGGCGCCCCTGTTAGGCTGTTTTAAA